GGACGTGTTGGATGAGTGGAATACTGCACTTTTGAAGTGGAAAATGAATGAAGCTCAAAATGCTGTGTCTGTCCTCCAGAAAAAGGTGTGTCATTTTATCTCTCGTTTTTGCTTTCGACGAGTTGTTAAGCTCCATGGTGTTGCTGTGCAAATAAAAGAAATCAATGGAAGATTAGATGAGATTGCTAAACAGAAAGATAGGTATAGTTTTGTGTCGAGGGAAACTAGACAGCCTCAAATTCAACCAGAAAGAGAAACCACATCTTTCGTTGATGGTTCTGCCATCCATGGACGAGATGAGGTAAAGAAAAGGATAATTAGCCACTTGCTATGTGGAAGCAGTGAAGAGTCTAGTGACTTCCACCTCCAGACCATCTCTATAGTAGGGATGGGAGGTATTGGCAAGACAGCTCTTGCGCAAATCCTCTACAATGACGATCAAATTAAGGCACACTTTGACAAGAGGGTTTGGGTGTGTGTCTCTGATCTCTTTCATGAGGCCAGAGTTGCAAGAGCAATCATCATTGAACTTGAAGGTCTGAATCATACTGCGGTGTTTCTCTTAAACTCACTACCACTTCAGAGCCTCTTAAAAAGAATTTGTGATTCCTTAGGAGGAAAGAAATTCTTTCTGGTTTTAGATGATGTGTGGACAGAGGACGGTAATAGTTGGGATTCACTGAAACAGACTTTTAAACATGGAGCTCCTGGAAGTAGGATTTTGGTGACTACTCGCAAGGATACAGTTGTAGAGATGATGGAATCCTCCCATGTCTTCCGTCTAGAAGAGCTATCTCAAGAGGTGTGTTGGTCCATACTTAGCCAAATAGCATTCATCAATAGGGACAAGAAACAATGTTCAGATTTGAATGACATTGGGTGGAAGATTGCCGAGAAGTGTAAAGGACTGCCACTTGCTGCAAAGACCTTAGGGAGTTTGTTGCGGTATAAAAGAACAAGAGAAGAGTGGAGAGATGTTCTAGACAATGAAATATGGACATTAGAAATGGTACGGAAAGATATCTTTGCTCCTCTTTTGTTGAGTTATTATGATTTACCCTCAGTAATAAGACAATGCTTTTTGTATTGTGCTATCTTTCCAAAGGATTTTGAAATATGGAGGTGGAATGTAATCCAACATTGGATGGCTCAAGGTTATCTGAATTCTAGTAGAAATGTAGAGATGGAATTAGTGGGCAGAGAGTATTTTGATTATTTGGCAGCTCGCTCCTTCTTCCAAGATTTTGGAAGACTTGAAGATGGTAGCATATTTAAATGTAAGATGCATGACATGGTACATGACTTTGTCCTGTTTTTGACAGAAAGTGATTTTGTAACAAAGAAGGTTGCTTCTGGTGAAAACTCAACTGTGGAGTTACAGTCCGAAGCTCGCCATTTGACAGTAATGCTGGCAGAACGAACTTCTTTTCCTGCCTCAATTTATGGCACAGAAAAGCTGCGGAGTGTGGTAACCTTTTGTGGACGGGAAGCAATAAGTGACGTAGCATTGTGCAACTTATTTAAACAGTCAAAACGTCTGCGTTTGCTCGATTTTGGTTGGCCTGATGGGCTCAATCATTTCAAAAATGGAATTCCTGATGAAATAGGGCAATTGATGCATTTGAGGTACCTTAACCTCCCTTTCACTGTGAATATGAAAAAGTTGCCTGAAGCAATCTGTGAATTATGCAATCTGCTATCTTTGGATCTAAAAGGTTGCAGTAGTCTTCAGGAACTACCCGATGGGATTGGGAAATTGATCAATTTGAGGTTTTTCCGTGCTGCAGGTTGCTTTGCTCTCACTCGGTACCCAAAATCAATGGGGAGATTAACTTCTCTCAGGGAGTTGATTGAGGTTAACATCAGGGTTGATCACAATGATCCTAAAGAATTTTGTATTGGTGATCTGGAAAAATTGTGCCACCTTCGTCGGCTTTGGATGAAGTTGATTGGAAATTCCATAGATTCAGATGAGGCTAGGAGAGCAAGACTTCATGATAAGATCCATTTGCGAGAGATGAAGATTGATTTGGATTCAAACATGGACGAAGGTTATGCAGTTGAAACCTTAAACCCTCCTCCCAACTTAAATGTTCAGTTTTGGACTAGCTACACCGATTGGTATTCCTAGCTAGTCCAGGAAGGAATGTGAATTTTATAAAGCAACAAGGAGACACTTGCATTGATCATGATGAATAATGGGAATAGTCTTTCACGGTCTGTAATTGTTGCTTATTCTCTTGATTTTGTGTTGGTTCACGTTTGTATTCTGTTTGTTTTCCTGTTGGTTTTATGTACGGTTTGCCTTTTTTTCTTGTTGGTCCATATTTGGATTCAATCATGTAGGGCTGATTGTGCTTGGTGTTTGCTGGATGACTTGACAAAAGCCTTGTTGCCTTCTCCATTGAAGTGATCGTATATTTGTTATTTGAATGCACCG